TTTCATATATATATATATATATATATATATATATATATATATATATATATATATATATATATATATATATATATATATATATATATATATATATATATATATATATATAAAGACAACCACGGTGTTAACTAGGAATAAACATGATACAGCGTTTTAACGAAATTGGAAATTTGTCAAAAAATTTTTTTAATATAAACCCCCTCCTCCCCTGAGATTAAAATATGTACCAGAAATGTGTGGGGTCCTTTTCTTATATTCTTTACTCCATTTTAGCACTACATACATTGATTAGATAGAAAAAATAAAATAAAATATCTGTAACATTTATTGAAGATGTATATGGAGTCAACACAAAATTAAATGTGGTTTCACAATGACAAGGCAAAATAAGCTCCGAATTCCAAAAATATATTCAGAATCATATATTTTTATATTATAAAACAATCAGTGTGTATTAATTAATTATTATTAAGAATAATATTTTTGATTTACTTTTAGTCCTAATATATATTGTTGTCGCTTTCATGTTAAGAGTATTCTATTGAATATATATATATATATATATATATATATATATATATATATATATATATATATATATATATATATATATATATATATATATATATATATATATATACATATATATATATATTTACTGATGGGCATCAAATAGCAATTTTTAAAGTAATATATCGATTTATTTTCAATGAAAATCTCCTCAGAAAAGAGCCCATGATCTTTTACTTCTAATTATTATTTAAATTCTGCTCAACATCCTTTATGGATGAACCTTTACACCATCATGTAATAAATTGTGTAATCAAAAAAAATGTTTTAAAAATAGAAAAATAAAAAAAAGGTTTTGAAAATAGTAAACACAAGCTCATAAATATCATATTTTACATTTATTGCGAGTTCAATTTTATAATTAATATTAACTATCTTTATATATTAATTGCGAAATAAAGTTAAAATTAAAAAATTTCAACAAAAACATCAACAAATTTAATTTAATTATAAAAAAATTACAAAAGATTGCATGTGATTACACGCTATCGTGGTAACGAAGAATACCAATAATTGTTTTTTAATGCATATTCATAAAATGTTATTATGATTATGGTTCATTGAAACATTTAAATTTGCTTTTATGTTTTAAATTCAAGCAAGCAGTGAATCTAGTTTTCTTGTTTTTTAAATTTCTAATACTAGCTTGTTGTAATAAAAAAAAAACATTGTTGTTATTAAAGGTATTTAATTTACGTTTTAATATACCTATTTACGTTTTAAATGTAAGTAACCATTTTAATTTACGTTTTAAATGTAAGTAACCAGTAAAGTAACAAAACCTATTTTTCTCATTAAATAAATTTCTAGAACCATTTTGTTATAATCATAAAACATTATTTTTATCTTATTTATTTAACTTTTCAGCCAAAAATGACGAAACTTTTAAAGAAATAGCATTTGCAGGTGTTAAAACAAATAATTTGTTTGTTTTTTTAGATTGTACTTTATTTCTTGCTAATTTATGAATGTATGTATGTATGTATGTATGTATGTATGTATGTATGTATGTATGTATGTATGTATGTATGTATGTATGTATGTATATATATATATATATATATATATATATACAAATTTATTTATTTCGTTATAAATGTTATATTCCTATTATGTTATAATCGTAGTAGTAAGTTATAGTCATATATATATATGCACATATGTAATAATGTGTGTACATATGCATATGTATATACATATGTATGTGTACATATGCACATGTATGTACATTTGTACATGTATGTATGCAAATACATATAAATTTTCTTGGAGGATAATAAGGATAATGAGCCATGGATATATCCTAATGGTCTCATGATACTTAAAGAAATATAAATCAAGTAAATTAATAATTTTTATAGTTTAGATTTTCATGATTTTCATAACTTTAATAAAATTCCTTTTATTTTTTAAAAACATTTTTAAACCAGTCAGCAATAGTTTTGGCTTCTTAGTTGTTAAAATAATTGTCAATTATATCTGAAGTACAAGTGGGCCATATTGCTAAAGCATAAGATGCAATCTGTTTGATGCAATGTTGCCTGTTTGTGTAATGCTTTCAGTTTAGAAATCGGCTAGCAACTAACTAGCGATAATTGGAGCAAAAAGGCAGCAATTTAGCCATGAGGATTGCTACCTGCATATGTAGCAACTAGCAAGCAACAATTCGTAATGATAGAGACTGATTTTTGATTTTTCAACAAGGATTGCTAGTTAGAAAAGCTAACAAAAATTCACAATTGATTTTTATATATCATTTTTTCATATTTATACCATATATACAATTATTACATATTAATATCTTATCTACTTACTGTAGTCATAGACGGCTTTGTATTACTTTACACATGCACATTACACAACAAACATTAAATATGAATAAGTAATATATCAAGTAATATATTTAATATGAATAATATACCACACAAAATTTTATCATTTTTTGCTTTTATGTATTTTTTTAATTTTTATTATTTTGATAGCTTTAACGAAAACATCCATGTTTATAGCTACAAAATGTAGCTATCAAATAGATACAGTCTTATCATTATGTTATAGTTAACTACAATAATATAATAATAATAATAATAGTGCTATAGTTGCTACCTTCCTATAAATTTATAGTTATGTTTTTGCAAACTACAAATCTGCTATATGTAGCTACCAAAATATTGTTTTAAAACCTCTAAAAACTCTTGATATATATACACGTATCGCTATAGCAACAGGTGGTTATAACCACATAGTAGAACTATGTAGTAGACAGCAACAAAGCTACAATATGTAGCTATCAATATATTATAATAATATCACTAGCTAAAAATATGCAATATGTAGCTATCAGCTACCTTTAGATTTGTCATTATGTTATATTTAGCTACATACCTGCGATCTGTAGCTATCAATATTTTGTAATCTGACTAGCTATAAGGCTGCTATGTAGCCATTGACAGCTGCAGATTTGTTTTTATGTTGTTACAATACTAAGATATATAGATAACAATGCATATATATATATATATATATATATATATATATATATATATATATATATATATATATATATATATATATATATATATATATATATATATATATATAGATAACATCTACAATATAGATTACATCGAATTAATATCAATAGCTACAAAGCTGCCATATCTAGTCTTGAAAACATCATTGAGAGCAATGAATTTTTAATACTGTGGTTTTATCACATCATCGATGTAATAAAACCACAGTTTTACAAATTCATTGCTCTCAATGATGTTTTCAAGTATTTTCAATAATTTCTTTCTTGTTTGGTATTTTGTTAATAATAAAGATTTTGTAACTAATATATTATTTTCCAAATGGTTACAAATGGTAAGATTATTAGAATTATTATCAGCAGATTATTATCAGCAGATTAACAGAAAAAAAAAAAAGTTTATTAAGATTATTATTATTAGCAGATTAACAGAAAGAAATTGTATTCATATAAAAAATAGAATTTAAAGAAAGAAAATATTAATTATTGCCCAAAGCAATTGTAAGTAAACACATAGATAATTGATTACTATTTTATTAATAACCTATTTAGGTAGAATATTACTGTTTTTTAATTTTGTAAAATAACTTTCTTATTTTACAACATAAAACAAAAAATTGCCATCAGATTCAGAATAAAAATCTCTATCAAACTTTATTTTAAAAACATTTAAAACTAATTTATTATTTAAATTTTGTAAAATTTTAAATTAGTAAATGAGGATTATTACCAAGTGATGCAAGTTAAATAATACTCAAAAAAAAATTATATTCATATATAATACATATTCTAATAGAGAATAAAGTCTTCTTGATAAGTGACCAACATCACACCATAACAATAGAGAAAGTCTTCTGGATATAGATAAGTGACCAACATAAACTTCAATTTTGCTAAAGTATTACTTAGTGACAGAGAATAATGACAATTAAAACAATATAATGACTGCTTCTTTGAAACATAATTTCAACCATAATACTACCTTTAATTGACCTAAGATTAAAATAACATAGAGACACAGAACATAGAATGAAGGAATATCCACACTTTACTAAGTACAACAAACTTCAACAAAAAATATTGTTTAGTCACTTTTGAGGGTGCAAAAGACCTTAGAGAATAGCAAATATAAACAACTTTTCTGTTAGCAAGAAAGTTGCTGAGTATATCAATTTGATACAGAGTAAATTCAAATAAGTAATTAGAATCACTCTAAACTCTCAATTTAAATTAAAATCTCAATTTAAATTTAAATCCTTAATAAAATTTAAATTGGAAATCAACATCATTAATGAAACATTATGTAAACAACATCATTAATGCAACATTATATAAACAACATCATTTATGCAGCATTATATAAACAATATCATTATTGAAGCATTATATTAACAATATCATAAATGCATAAATTATATAAACAATGACATTAAAGCAGCATTATATAAACAACATCATTAAAGCAGCATGATATAAACAACATCATTAAAGCAACATTATATAAACATCATTAGACAGCATTATAAAAACAACATTATTAATGCAGCATTATATAAACAACTTCATTAAAGCAGCATTATATAAACAACATTAATGATGCAGCATGATGTAAACAACATCATTAATGCAGCAATATATAAACAACATTATTAAGGCAACATTATATAAACAACATCATTAATGCAGCATTATATAAACAACATCATTAGGCAGCATCATATAAACAATATCATTAGAGCAGCATTACAAAAACAACATCATTAATGCAGAATTACATAAGCAACATGGTTATAACAGAATTATAAAGAAAACTTTTGTAAAGTAAATAGTAAATAAACAATATTGTAAATTGTATTCATACTAAATTTGTACTTAGTTTAAATAATACTTTGTAACATACGGTTTTTTTATGGTCTGGAACTAAAGCTAACCAAATGTTAGACATGGCTTTTTGAACAGACAGATTTGGGTCATATTGATACCTAAAGAAAGTATTAAAAATCTGAATTATATATACTTACATCATACATATAATAGATAATTTCATATCACATATGAATCACTAACTTGAAAAAGGGGACATGTCCTGCAAAAATTCACATAACATGTCCCCTTTTTCAAGTTAACGATTCATATGAAACCTAAAATTTACATATCTTGTACCATATTTACATCATACATATCTTGTATTGCATACTAATTTGGTTTTATACTAAAATAGGAATTGGCAAGAGTACAAACATTGATTAAGGGATAGGATTAACTCAGATATAATACATTTCATCCATATGATATGAACGAGATTTTAGATATTTTATTTAATAGTAGTGATGTAGAAAGTGAAGAACATTTTATCACTAGTGATAGGATCAGGATCCTATCACTAGTGATAAAATGTTTACAAATTCACAATAAATTGTCACTGTATCACCATTGATAAAATGTTAACAAAAACACAATAAATTGTCACTGTACCACTTGTGATAAAATGTTTACAAAATCATGATAAATTGTCACTCTATCACTAGTGATAAAATATTTACAAAATCATTTTTTTAATAAAAACTCTGTGATGAAGATCCTGATTGTAATGAAATTAGTGACTCTGAGAGCATTATAGAATATGAAGAAGATTTTGTCGATTTTTTTCCAGACAATATTGAAATTTTAGAAAAAATACAAGAAAAAATTTACTAATATCTAATAAAGACATTAATGTCAGCACTAATATAGAAACTGATAGCAGCAGTGTTATAGAAACTAATTTTGAGTCAAAAATCGAAATTGAACGCTCTGCTTATTCGTCGACAGAAGCTTTGCAACCTCTGCAGAAGCAACTTCAAATTTGTGAAGGAAGACACACACATACTGTGGGTACACATGGAGGTTGTTCTGTTCAATTCATTTCTGACCAACCCATGAAGATGACACTCTTGAGGGAATGCTATCTAGTGAACACATACCAGTAGAATTGATGATTCCTTTTTTAAACAAAAGACATATACTTTTCACAGACAACTATTACACAAGCCCCTACCTTGCTACTTATCTTTTGTCTAAAAACACTTATCTTTGTGGAAATATCCGTGTTAACCGTAAGTTTTACTGCAAGAATATTGTGAATGAGAAACTTTAAAAAGGAACTGCTCGTTTTTGCAAAACCATATACGTGGGAAACAAAATGATAGCCTGCAAATATCGTGCTGCGAAAGATAAATCTGGTAAAAAACAAAAAGTTGTATATATGTTATCAACTTTCCACAATCCAGTGATCGTTAATTCTGGAAAGTCTGACAGAGATAGTAATGTAACCATGAAGCCATTAGCAATAAAGGCCTATAATGGAGATGTTGATCGCCTTACTGCTATAAACTTCCCTTCAATTATAACAAACTCTGCAGATAAAAATGAAAGAAATTGTCGTAAAAGTAAAAAGCTGATAAAGGATGAAAACTGTTTATATTTGTTGATTTTGTCCATCACAACCAGGACTGCGCTCTGATAATTGTTTTGAAACTTATCACACAAAAAAAGACTTTTATTTGCAGTGAAAATCTTTCATTAATGTTTTTGAAGTGATGCTTAAAAAATTATTTTGAGAAAATTAGTTGTTTTATTATATCTTTAGAATATTTTGACTTCTGGTTCTTTATACTAAAACTTGAATATCTTTGCAATAAGTCATTAGATTAGTCTAATTTTTTTTTTTTTTTATTTGATCACAAATGCATGTGTTTATATTTGGCAATTAAAAAACTGGCAGTTAACTATAATTTTCTATTTATAACCTAAAGTTAAAGTCAAAAAAAATGTTTTCTAAACTTTTGGCAATGTCACAGTTTTGGTCACATGACCTAGGGAAAAATTTTTTAGATTTTTTTCTTAAGTACGATGGCCTATTTTATATATATATATATATATATATATATATATATAAAGAAATAATTTGACCATTTTGACTAGCACTTCACATTTTTTGTCATATCATGGTCAAAAAATATGTAATCGTGGTCAAAACATGATATTTCGTGTTCAGACATAGCTGATTTTCGTTCAGACTGGAAAGGGTTAAAAAAAGTCAAGGTATTTTTATATATGCTATTGGAGTCTTTGGACATTAATACAAAATTTAAACGATTAAGTTTAGAATGGATTTTATGGATCACAACACAAAATTTGATAAGGTTAATCACGGCACCAATTTTGTTAAGGTTAATCACAATTCTCAAAACAACCCTAAGTTAAGACTGTGGAGCAATTCTGGGCTAACATTAAGCATAGCTTTTTAAAAAACTTCAAACCAGCATAAGACACTAATTTTAAATTTAAAATTAATTTTTTTAAAAGACAGTTTCAAATTTAAATATAATTAAAAAAAAAAAAATGGAAAAAGCTGTTGGAGAAGTCGAAGAAAAAGCCAAAACACTGAGGGCTCATGTCAAGATAAAAACACTGAGGGCTCATGTCAAGATAAAAACACTGAGGGCTCATGTCAAGATAAAAACACTGAGGGCTCATGTCAAGATAAAAACACTGAGGGCTCATGTCAAGATAAAAACACTGAGGGCTCATGTCAAGATAAAAACACTGAGGGCTCATGTCAAGATAAAAACACTGAGGGCTCATGTCAAGATAAAAACACTGAGGGCTCATGTCAAGATAAAAACACTGAGGGTTCATGTCAAGATAAAAACACTGAGGGCTCATGCCAAGATAAAAGATTTTGGCAAAGTGTAAAAAAGAAAATATTTAAATAATTAACTATAAATTTCTAAATTAAATAAAAAAAAAAAAGCATTCTTACAAAAACCATTCATTTTTTATTCTGTATTATAAACAATGTTGCTTCATTCATTTAAAAGTTAGTTAGCAAAAAATCAGACTATTACATTGGTAAAAAAATTAAATTTAAAGTTTTCTGCATTTGTACATATATATAATAATAAAATTTTCACAAACTATTTAAAATTTTAAAAATAAATCACATTTAAATTCTTATATGTAAAGATCACATTTATATGTTCATCTCATTACTTTAACTAACAGTTAATTTGCATACCAGTTTTTACAAAGTTAAGGCATCATTTTTATAAAGTGTTTTTGTTAATTGTTATTGAACTTTTATTGTAAAGTATTTTTGTAAAATGATATTTGCAGTTGCTGCAAAACATTTTTGTATAATGATTATTTAGATATTGTTTTTTTAAGATATCATATTTGGGTTGCTTTATAATACTGATTTAGAATCAAAAACCTTATTACCTATACAACTTTGGAATAATTTCAGGAAGATAAACTTTTAACTCCTCTCCAGCGATTGAAGCAATGCTAAGAAAACCAAATGCTGCACCCTACAATAAACTTTCTTTTTTTATATGTATCAAAAATTAAGATTTCAATACAAATTGGTTTAATATATATTTGTACAAAAGATATCAAATAACTAGGGCAAATACCTTTTTAGAGTTCCACATTGCATTATGGGTTGCTAAACTCATAAACTTATAAATTAAATCAGGTTTGTTCATCGAAGTTGCAAGTGAGCATAACTCTTTATATGTTGATAAATTTGAACTAGAAATAAAATAATTTGATAAACATTTTCTATACATTAAATTTAAGGCTTTTAAAATTTATTTTATAAGAATATCAATACATTAACTAATAAATAATCAATAGTAAACAATTGCAGGTAGATTTTGAAACTCTAAATAAGTTTATTCAAAAGTAAATAAAAAGTTAACACAACAAATTATAAATTTTTTTTTCTTATGAACCTTAACCAAGTTAAACACAAAACATTTTGAAAACCATTTGCAACTGGGGATTATAACTATGAGATTTGTATGAATTTTGTGATATGGTGAACGAAAGTGGAGGAAATGCACGAATTAGTTAAAATTAAAGCAAATTAATCATGTTCAGTTATTTTTAACACAATTTTTCTATAACAATTTAAAACATATTTGCTGTAATTACTAGTGAACTTTAAATACAAAAATAACAACAAAAATTTTACAGTTGGAATAATATAAAAGATTTCACTATTAATTTTACAAAATATTTAAAATAATAATTGATACAACAAGAATTATCCGAAATAAATTTTAGGTAGTTAATGCTGACTATAGATATAGTATTATTTATTAAAAAAACAGCAGATATGTTGTTTTTTTAGTCATAAAAAAAAAAAAATTTTAAATTTAGAACAAATCATTAAATTATTTTAATTAAATTAGAACACTTTATTTTTAACATAATGAACAAAACTTTTGTAAAAATGTTTCTATTATTCATGATTTGTTGTATTTTTATATGTAGTTTATTTGTTGTATTTTTACATGTTTTTACAACGATTTTTGCATCCTCTAACTACAACTTCAATTATAAAATTCAAAATGCAAATCTGGAATTTTCTCAACGTTTGTTCCCACTAACTAGATCCCTCTAATTTAATAAATTGCTTTAACAGGCTTTGTCCTAGAGGCTGTGACTAAGAAAAAGAGTTTTGCTTATGCATAATATGTTTAACTGCTAATAGATAAAGAGCCAGTACCAAACCAAATTTAAGGAAAGGGTAAGTTTATATTTGTTCTAATTAAAGATAAATAGATTTTATTATAACAAAAATTATTAATAAATTTAGCTTAAAAATATCTCCATCCAAAAAATTTGCTTTGAAGATTTGCATTCTTTTTGCAGAAATTTCCTGTTTAAGGGTAAAGAAATATATGGCATAAACACAATATAAAGATGAATCTTGGTAGAAAACTTGCAGCAAATGCAATTCAAGAAAAATTTACCTAACAAAATAAGGTCACTTTAGCAAAATTTTTAAAAGCTTGTCCAACTATTTCTAAAAGCTTATCCTTAAAATTTAAACTAAAGACAACTTGATGCTGATTCTTAAATTAAAAACTTGTATATATATCTAAATTTAAATGAACTATAAAAAAAATTGAATGTAGGTAGTATCCATCATGTTATTTCTGTGTGGACACATAACAATTTGACAACTCTAAAAATTATTAAACTATTTACAAGAGAAGATAATAGCAACAAAGTGCATGATGGGTACTTGATTATTTTGAGTCAAGTCTTATCAAACATTTGCAAGAGCCAAATAAATGTATACAAGAATTCTTTACAGCTGTACATCTTGAAATTTTTTAATTCCAAAGAAAATCATTTAGATAATATCTTCCTTTTACTAAACTATCTCTATTATAAGTTAAACATCTTATTATTTTGTTTAATTCTTTTTTAATTCTTAGTTTTTTTTCTTTTTTTAATTCTTAAAACTTTTATTAAACATTAAATTTACGATGGATTTAGTGTTAGACCTAAAATTTGATAGAATGAACAATGGCCTTTGCCAGATCAGGTTATCCTGCTACTAGTAACATGTAACCCATTAGAACCTGTTTCATGCCCTGCTGCCTTGTAAGATATGTTATTTTAGGCAAAAGCTAGGAAAAGCCAAATGCCACCCCCTGCCTTAAGGGTTATTGGTTGATTAAAGATGTTAGAGATGGTATCTCAATAAAGGTAGACATTAAATGCATCGGACTACTGTCTTATAGCAGGTCTCCTAGGCAAAGACTTAAGATGTAAACAGATTCTATCTGTTAACCAGTCTCATACCCCTTCTTTATCTACTAGGCTGGCTTAGATGTATTTATAATACATTGTTTCCAGTTTAGGATGTTAAAAGCTGGATCTTCTTGACTCAATGCATGGGTTTTGCTTGTATTTTTATGAGGCAACTCATTCTATTATCTCCTAATGAGGGTACAGCTCTAAAACTCAGTTTTATGGTTTTGAGGCCTACTGGTAGTCAGATTTCTTGAACTCTGTGGTAGCTCTTGGAAACTAGTAGCAGGATAACTTGATCTGGCAAAGGCCAATGTTCATTCTATCAAATTTTAGGTCTAACACTAAATCCATCGTAAATTTAATGTTTAATAAAAGTTTTAAGAATTAAAGAAAGAAAAAAAACTAAGAGCTACCACATGCGGTAGTGGTGTAGTGGTAGAGCGCTCGCTTCATAAACGAGTGGTTCCGAGTTCGATCCCCACCACGTCCCTGGTAGTACCGCGCTCAACTCGTTTCTCCGCGCAGCGGCCTTGTTCATCAAGGTTCGTGTTTCGGAGTTATAGAGTTGAGAGAGGGTTATAGCCACAAAATAAGTAGCCTCCTCGTCTGTAGTGGCCTTCTCGGCCTTGAGGAGGTGAAGTAAAATAAAAAAAAAAAAAAAAAAAAAGGCTAATTTTATCAACAGCTGCAAAGTATCAGAGTACTAACAGTGCCATGTTGCGCATGGATTATGCCCCTATTTGTACTTTTGGTGTACATTGTCAAGGCCACATTCGAAGCCCTTTGTTACAGCTTAGGGTTTATTAATAGTAATGAGGCAATTGCTTGGACTATTAAATAGTGTACTGTGTACTATCAGTGCCTTGAGTCAAGTTCTTTAACAAATTTAAAAATGACTAAAGTACCAAAAACAATAAAAAACAAAAACCATTGTCATCACTAAGTTCTCTAAATTTATCATTCACTTATATTCGTGGTCTTTGAAGTAACTTTTTTTCTGTTGAGTCTTACCTTTTGCAAAGTTAACCACACATACTTGCTCTTTGTGAGACTAATTTGAGTTCAGCTGTCTCATCTTGTGATCTTAGTGTTGATGGTTATCTTCCTTTAATTTCTAAAGACTCCACTAGTCACATGCTTGGTCTGAGCATTTCTATTTGTAAGGATTCACCCGTTTGTCAGGAAACTAGGTTTGAATCCACAGACTATTCTTTTATGTACTTTCACTTTGCATCACTCTACTCTATTGCCTTTTACTTTGTTCTATATCGCTCTCCTTCATTCAAAGGCTGCACTTTTTTTGATGTTATTTCTGATCAAATTGAGTTCTTCCTCATTATCCTTCAGCCAATATCGTTGCTGTTGGTAACTTTAATGCTTATCACATTGAATAGCTTGGCTCTAGTGTCTAAGTACCATAGTCCATAGTCATACCAGACTCTCTTCAATTTTCTTTAAACTATTTAATAAATGCTTGGCTGAGTCTTGTTTTCCTGCCTGTTAGAAAATGACATCTGTGGTTCCAACTTTCAAAAACTCCGAAGAACATAAATATAATGTATGGATAATATTTTTGGTAACCTGAGTTGATTTATACTTAATAAAAATATACTTTTTAAACTGTTGTTTGTTTCATTTTTTCAAAAGTAGTTGTTTAATACTTTAGATCACAATAAAATTCTTATATGTTAATCCTTATATTGACTAAATATCTGTTAATCCTTATATTTACTTTGTTAAATATTGTTTGTTATCTCATGTTATTAGCACTGTGTTCTAAAATTTAAAATCTTTTAAATTTTACTGTATTATTAATGTGATTTTAATGTATTATAATAATAATTATATTTTTATAGTATAGTTTTGTTATGCTCATAATATTCACAATAAACTATTTAATAAATTATAATAATTTGGTGTGTGTCTTCAGGAGGATTACATACACGGCTAATTGTCAGTTATACTTGATAAGCGAGCAGCTCCTCATCAAATTGAATTTATAATTAATAATAATGGCAAAACTTTAGCTGACTATCTATAATTTTATTGCCTATATCCTAATTTTAGAGATTAGTGTTTTAAATTTCCCAAAATGATGAAGCTGTTCGGGTGCAAATAGAGTCATTAAATCAATTCAAATAAGTCATTTTGTTGATTCGATTCTTGCTGTTTTAGGTGAGCAACCTAATAATGGAAATAAACAGTCAAAATTAAAATTTTAGGTATAATCCTATCACTTGTGGTAAAACTATATTTATTTATGTCTGAAACCTGTAGCTGACATTAGAATTGCAACAGCTGCATAGACAGGTATTGTCCATCCAGCAATTTCTATCATGGACAGAATCTCTTTTTTTATGTACATTGCATTAGTTTACTTAATCTTCATGGGCCAATTTTGAAAAAAAAAAAACATGTTACATCAAGTTCCTTGTGTTAACTCAACCTAATTCAAATTTACCTTTTATGCTAAAATGTCACCAATTTTTCAGTTAGATTAGCAATGACCAATTAATGTCAAGGTCAAAATTTTGATATTTATCTCAAAAACTCTGGCTTTTCAAGTTAATGCTTGAGAAGACAAAGTTTAATGTTTTTTAAAGCAGATGAACAAATATTACAAAGTTTGCCATTTAGCAAATATTATACAAACAATATTGTATTTACAAATGTACAAATTTATAAATAATTATTCTTTACTATTAAATATTCATTTAATGAAAAAGCATTTAAAAATGGTCCATCTGTTGATCAAGCCAAAACATGGAAAATGTTTTCTTCAATCTTTTTAATAAACAATTGTTTGAGCTGAAACAACATGTGGTTGAACTTAATTCTGAAATTGAAAATCTTTGTAGTAAAATTACAAATAAGGATAATATTATAAGAGAACTAAATGACAAAACTTCCTAACTAGAAGGTTTAACATCAAAATGTACCACTCAGTCAACACAATTTTCATATCTGGATATTGCTTCATTGTTTATCAAACCTGGTACCCTCAAAATCATAAAAGCAGTATCAGAAAACTCAAATATTAGTCAAAATAAGTCAAAAAAAGCCACATTTATTGGCATCTCATCAAATAAAAGTAATCTAATTAAAAAAAAAAGAAAAAGACACTAAGGCAGTTCAAGATATTTCGTATTTACTAAATCTCAATGCCAATGTCTAAATATTTAATTTAAACCAAAATATAAATGTAAAAATACAATCACAACTAACAGTTATAGTTGAATTTAAAAAAGCAATGTACGTAATCAAGTAATAGCAGCTGCCAAATACCTTTGTAAAGGTATATACCGTCGGCTTGGGATGCAATTGTCGTATCACAAATTTATTAAAATTATATATAAATATGTAATAACGTAATTTATGTAAATTTAAAGTTATGTAAATGTAAAAAATTATTTAATATAAATTATTTAATATAATATTTTAAAAAAAACTTTTTTCATTAATATATGATGTTAAATTTACATATATTAGATAATTACATATTTATATACAACTTTAATAAATTTGCGATACAACAACCGCATCCCGAGCCGACGATATAAAAACATCCATATTTGACCAGAAAAAACCATAGCTAAACAAGCTGAGTTTGTTAAGTTATTCAAAGAAAGACAGGAGGCTAATGAAGATCTACACAAAAATGGTATTCTTGATCATCCCTTTAGATTTGTCATCCCCGGTGACCAGATCGGCTGCATTGATGTCTTACAGACCAGCTTATTTATGACACTCAAAAACCTCAAGAAATGCAAAGCTTTTAACAAAAATTTTATAGTAAACTATAAAAAGAAACCTTTTGAAAATTTTACTAATATTTATAATAACTTCTCAAATTTTATAATAATTAATAATAACTTCTCAAATCACTCTCTCAAGTTTAAATGTTTTACAAATTACTTGAACTATCTGATATTACTCTCTCCACATCTATAGACATATTTACTACTGAAATATGGTTTAATGAAAGAACATCTTCAAATATAAAAAATTATGATATTTTCAGTCTTTACTTTTAAACATTCTGAACAACTATGGCTTTCATTCCAAACCAACAAAAGTAACAAGTTGCTGATTGGTTCGTAATCAACTCAAAAAGTATACTCATTCAGCAATTAAAATCTTTGAAGAAGATTTAGCAAATTATAAATGCAATCAAAAAAGGCTTTTCAACTATATTAATTCTTTATGTTCATCATCAAGCCCTATTAATGTAATGATCTCTGAATCAGATATTAGCATAAAGAAAGTTTTTATTATTATCCAAACCATTATCACTTATATTTCAACATTCAATTGATCCAACTGAATTACCATAATCTTGGTTAGAAGCCAACGTTACTCCATTATATAAGAAAGGCTGCAAAACAGATTCAGGAAATTATTTTCCAGTTTCCCACACTTTGTTACTTGTAAAAATCTTGAGAAAATAATTAGAGATAAAATCACAGAAGATTTATCACATAATAATCTTATATCTCCTTGTCAACACAGATTTGTTACAAATAAATCAAGTGTCACAAATCTTTTGGAAACTATGGATTTTATAAACTTTGCAAAATCAAATAAAAAATCGACAGATATTATATTCCTTGACTATGCTAAAACTTTCAATAAGTAAACCGTATAAACCTTTATTATTTAAATTGGAAAAATACAGAATTGTTGGTAAACTTTTTTCTCGGATAAACACTTTCCTATCAAATTGTTGACTATGTGTTGTTTTAGGAGATACCAAAGCTGATTGGGTTTCTGTCATGAGTGGTGTTACTCAGGATTCTGTTTTGGGACCTACTTTGTTTATTATATACATTAATGATCTGCCTGATAAGATAAATAACGCTTGTAAATGTATGCTAACGACACAAAGATACTTGCCATAATTGAAAACAAAAAGACGGTGAACCACTGCAAAGTGATATCCAGAATGAACAAAAATATGGGAAACACAACTCAACGAAGGCAAATATAAAATAATGCATATTCTAAGGAGTTCTAATTTACTAAAATTCAATTACTATATAAATTTTTTTGTGTGTAACGTTTTAGTTTACTAATACTAAACACAATATATTTTATAATGTATATATAATATTTATGTATATGTATATGTATATAATAATATTTTTTATAAAAATTTAACAAAACCAATTATATTTTTGGAAACCCAATTGTTGTTAAAGGAAAATCATGTCATAACTTCTTTTTTTATAAAATTTGGAAAAAAGAGGAAAGAAAAAAAGAGAGGGGCGAAACCACAATGTTAGAAAGATTTGTTTATTTTGTTACATATTTTAATGTATTTAAAAATTGTAAATAAATTTTGTTGTAAAGACTTTTAATTTAGTTTTTATTACTATTTTGGTAATAGCTGCTCCTTATTTAAAATCACAATTATTTTTAATTAAATAACCACTTTAACCAGTTGCATTAATGGGAATCTTAATAAATAGGATTGTAAAACAAAAAAACAAAAAAACAACTAAAGAATTGATAGGTGTCAAACCGTGGTTTCTTATTAAAAATTTACAATTAGAATTTATAAAATATTGAGTTGTAAATTATTAACTCAAAGCCAAATGAAGCATTATTTTCTACCATTTACTTAAACCTGTTGGAATAAATAGACTATATATAGAATAAGTGTATAAATTGTAAGCAGGAAACATAGAGCAATCATGACTTGTTTTAATGGTCCTGGAAACTAGTACTTATTATTATTATTATTATTATTATTATTATTATTATTATTATTATTATTATTATTATTAACAATCTATGTAAATGTATATTTAATAAGTTTATACGTTTTTGTAAAAAGCTTTATTTAATTAGGAAGGGAAGTTATAATTTTTTAAAACAAATTTTAGGAGTCTTCAGACATAATATGACTATTTTTGTTTTGTTTTGCTTTTGTTGTACCAAGTTGTACCAAGAAACAGTCTACATTTAACAATAAACGTAAACTGTTTCTTGGTACAACTTTTTGACCTCAAGTTTAATGACATTTTATCATCACTATTGTCATCATCATCATCATCATCATCATCATCATCATCATCATCATCATCATCATCATCATCATCATCATCATCATCATCATCATCATCATCATCATCATCATCATCATCATCATCATCATCATCATCATCATCATCATCATCATCATCATCATCATCGTCATCATCATCATCATCATCACCATCATCATCATTATCTGTACCAGTCTTTCATTTCTATTTTCATTTATTGTTTGTTTTTATCATCTTCATTGTTATATTTGCGTATTTTATTTATAATTACAATTTGATTGTTCATTTGTGTTCATAAGAAGCTGTGTTTAAAAAATAATTTTAGATAATCAGGAATTAAATTTAAAATCACTCTTGTTTAAATAAGTGTTGAACGTTTTTTAAAAACATTTAGAAAATAAGAAAGTTAACTTAAAACTAAATGATATTAAAAAATCTTAAACAATACCCATCAGGTGTTTTTCCTAACACTCCAGCTTTAAAAATTTCAGAGTCTTTTTCCACCTTTGTTGATGAATGTTTTCCAGAAAGTAATGTTTCAACAAGTGCAGAAACAAGCAATTCTCTACTTTCTTTTTTGATCTGATCATAAATCAAACCCAAACCTATTAAAACATAAATTACTTTAGAAACATAAAGAAAATCTTAAATGAGAAATTTACCCAATCAGATTACTAAAACTCAAATTCTCAGAAGTTAGGTTATAGAGAATTTAAAAAAAAATTTTAATAACATTAATAACAAATTTTTATTTATTGGCCCTTTACTATTTTTTATTTATATTATTGATTTGCCTGAGAACTTTCTTAATATTTCGAAAATGTATGCTGATGATGCAAAAGTATTATCAAGGGTTGATTGTGAAGCAAGTGTTAACCTATTGCAAAATGACCTATGAATGATTATGCTGTCAACTAGTCCAACAAATCAAAATTTAATTTTGAGAAGTGTTTGATAATGCACTTTGGTAAAAATAACCCAAAAAGAACTTATTTTATGCAAAATATGCCTTTAAGTATCACTGACGCTGAAAAAGATCTTGGTGTAGTATTTACCTATGACTTGAAATGGAAAAAATCAAATAACTCTGTGTGTAAATAGAGCAAATAAAGTTTTGGGTATGTTGAGGAATACATTTTTAAGTTTAAATTGTAAATTACTAAAAATTATATATACAACTTTTGTAAGACTATTAATTGAATTCGGTGTATCTGTGCGATCTCAATGTCTTAAAAATGAAATTAATCTACTAGAAAAGGTACAGCATGGCGTTACTAGAATGATATTGCCACTAAAAAAAACTATATTATGAGAAAAGATTAGACAAAATGGGTCTCACTACTTTAGTTGTAAGACGGATTTGGGGTGACTTGATTCAAATGTATAAGTTATTCAATGGAATTGAAAAAGTAAGTTTAATTAATGAAATTTTGCCAAGAAATTATCAATCAGCAAGAGGTCATCAAATGAAATATAATCGCAAAATAACCAGTTTTTTGCCTCTGCATTATTTTTTAACAAACAGTATTTTTTTACTGGAATCGACTACCTACTGATGTTGTTAATGTTATTTTTGTCAATTTTTTTAAACTTGACATATGGATTTTAAATAATGTAATTATGTTGAATAATGATATAGCTGTCCAAGTGTACTTGGTACATTTACTGAATTATTGGTCACAGCTCAAATATATTACTATTACTATTACTAAATTTAATCTCAGAAGTAAGGTTACAGAGAATCTTATCAAAAATCTTGAGTGTAGCAACTTACTCTCTGATAATTTTCTCTCACTCTACAGCTGACTCGTTAACTATAATAATAATAACAATAATAATAATAATAATAGCAATAATAACAATAATAATAATAACAATAATAATAATAACAATAATAATAATAATAATAATAATAATAATAATAATAATAATAATAATAATAATAATAAGAGAAGAGTAAAATAATATTATTAATAATAATAATAGAAGAGTTAAATAGATGAAGAGTATAAAAAAGATGAACTATTTTTCATTAAATGAAAGCTAAATGAGGCAAGGGCTATTGTTTTTGAAATACCAAGACTTTCAATAAAGCATGCTGGCTTTTCTCGTAAAATCTTTTTATATGGTGTATTTAAGAAATTTATTAAAATTATTGAAACATTTTTTTCAAAATTAGTAACCTTGTAACCTCTAGGGTACAACAAGGTTCCATCATTGGTCCTGTATTGTTTCTCGTTTGTACTAATAATACTTTAAACAACAATAACCACCATAGATATTTTTAGCATTCTACTTAACAAATTATCCAATTTTTGATCATTTTGATGCATAAGATGTGGAAAAAACTAATAAGCTTTTCCCACATCTTATGCATCATTACACATTTGTTTTTGACATTACTTCCTAAAAAAATCCGATAGAAGAGAGATCTTGTGATTGGGAAGGCTAAAACATTCTATTCAATATTGTATCGTTCTCGAACTCAGTCAAATAACTTATACAATTGTTTTTGTAAAATATGTTTTGGATTTAAGCTTTAAGTCATTTTCTTTTGAAAAAATAAATGGCTTCCCATTAAACCATCTTTCCGAAGGTGTGGCATGATTTTTTAAGTGTACAAGTAAACTACTTTTGTTATTACTCCATCTATTTTTACAAAGTCACCTGTGGCATTCCAACCAAAATAGCCTAACACCCTAAAACAACATCCTGCATATTTTAAAGTCTACTACACACTATTTACACACTATTTTATCACACATTAATTAACTTTTTTTTCTAGACAGTCTTATCTTGAAACCAAAGATTTAAAACTTTGACACGTCGGTCCACATTTACAGTCATTGATGGTCCATTTATATGTAGTTTTGCTCACTTTTGCATTTTTATAATTGTCATGATTTTTATAAAAGCATTTTAATCAAAATATTTTTAAATTATCTAATAGTGCAAAAATGAATATAAAAAATAGTTAAATAAAAAATAGCATTTAAAAAAAGTTTTAATGTCAGTTGAATAATTATGAATGGTAGTGTATATAACAAAATTCTTAAATAAAACAAAAAAAACAAAAAAATTTAAACCTCTAGAGGCACTATCTTGAACTTCTTCCTCACTATCATTTAAAAGATTTATAAATGCAGCTTGTATCACAAGAATACTTTTTTCTATTCCCTCATGATCAGGAACAAATTTTACAATACTTAACAACCAAACTGCAGCAGCTCGTCGCACATGAGCCAGGTGACTGTGAACGCACTCATTATTTATTCTTTGAATTAGTTCTATCATCCTTTCAGTTTTTGGCAATGGTGTATTGTGAAATTCATCATCTAAGACATACTTATCTTTTGCTAATTTTGATAATATACCTCCTGCAACACAAGAAAAAACTTGCCCAATTGTAAACTGAATCTCTGTTTCTTTCATCTAAAAAAGATTTTTGCAATTTTCAAAAAAAGAAGTTGCTATAGTTATTATATACAAATTTTATATAAAACTTTATACAATAATATTTCAATGTTTCAAATGGAACATTCATTCTATAAATCTTTTTTTTTTTAAATAATTTTGAACTAGGTCAAAATTAATTGAAAAATTGAAAAAAAAATCTTAATCTTGTTTAGTTTATTAAACTCCTTTAAGCCTTTTATTTCCCTAAAGGAAAATGTTGAACAGGAAGTAGCTTTAACATTGTTCAATTTAACCATAACATTAAACAGGAAGTAGCTTTTTAAATGATTATCAAATTTTATTATTTGCTTTTGTTCTATTTTTAACAAATAATTTTTTAAAAATTCATGCGGAAGTAGTGAAAAAAGTGTTATTATCAAAATGGTGTCCTCAAGATCAGCAAATATTTGAAAGACAAGTTTACCTAAAATTTAAATGATTCTAATTGATTGCTGTAATTTGTTTAGTAAAAAAAGCAAAAAATGCATCTTAAAGAGGTCTAAACAAATTTTGCATTTGTTTTTGCTGAGTGCCTTGAAGTATAATGACTATAGATAAAAGGTCATTGGAGATTTTAAAAATGTTTCATTACTTATGGGCCTTCAAAATAGTTTTGCAAAATTTCCTTGTTTCCTTTGCCATTGGGACAGCCATGACACCAAGGTGCACTTCACAGAAAAAAACTGGATAAATAATAACAACAAATTTTCTTGACAATTGAAATATAACACTTTGAATCCAAGGATAAAAATTGTATTTCATATTGTTATTCTAAGTTGTTTCAAAATATTTTGAAACTAAAAATGTAGCATTGCTGCAATAAATTTAGTGTAGTAAAATATATCAAAAGCAAACTTTAAGGCATTAAAAATCAAAAAATATACCTGCCAGCAAAGCAATAAAAAAATCCAATTTAATTGTATTAAAAAAGAAAACAAAAAACACCTACTTTAGAAGATTCAATCAAAAAATCTTCAATTTTGCTTCGGTTAAAAATATCTGGTTCTCCAACACAAATATTTCCAAGAGATATAGCAGCAGTTTCTTTAAGCTAGAAAAAAACAGCTGAAAAAATTAAACAAAACATTTTAAAAAGTCAACTTTAGTTAACCTTTTTGAAAGTTACTTTACAAGCAAATATAAAATTTTATATACAACATACTTTAATTTCAGTGGCATTTTGAAAAATCTTGATCAGTTCATCTACAATCTTCGCTTTACTAACTAAAAAACCAATTTATATACATACACACACACACATATATATATATATATATACATATATATATATATGTGATATAAAGGTAATTTATATCACATATCCTACTTTTTTTAAGAGAATGGTTTTTAAACTAAATAAAGGTAATTCCTTTACCTTTTTTTAGTTTAAAAACCATTCCCTTACCTTTTCTAGTGTTTATTATTGGGCAGGATGCCATCCCGGTGTCTAATATATAAAAATCTCCTTTTAGTTTTCTTTCTATTAATAAAAATGTAAAATGATTGCTTAAAGTTGCAACTTGTAGTAATGTTGAAATTGAGCAAATGAAGGAACATTTCAGCTATTTTTGGTGTCATACTTCAAAAATCGTGGCATTTCTTTTGTATTTGAAAACAAAAATTAATAATAACAACCAAAATTTTGTTGGTATTCTTTAATTCTGCTCACAAGTGAACTTTCCAGAAATAAATATTTTTAATAGTATATATTTGACCTTATTAAATTACAGAAGCCTTTTCTATAGCAAACTCTATTATAAGTACTTTATATTTACAATAATTTTTTATTTTATAATTGGGTCTCTTATGCTTGTGATGGTGTTTCTAATATACTAAGCAAAAAAGCAGGTGTTGCTCTTTACTTTGGAATCAGTATCCCAATTTAATTTTATGGCATTGCAGTAATCATCGTTTAGAATTAACAGTGAATAAAACATGAAAATTTTTTTTTGATAAGTTGTATTCTGTTTACAGTGTATCTCCTAAAAATGAAAAGAAACTGGAAATTGTTGCGATGGCTTTAAGTGTAAAATTTAATTCTATTGGATGATGGGTGTCATCTATTGCAGATCTAGTTGCTTAAACTAACTATGCAATATTAACACTTTAATGAAGCTAAAAAATAATAACCGATCTAAAACGTAATGGAGAAGATAGAGTTCATATAGAGAATATAGAGATAAAGAAATTGTGTGATGTTAATTTCATACTAAACATAGAACTAATGCTAGATGCTTTAATAGAACTAGAACATCTTTCTAAAAAGATACAAAATAGACAAACTTCTTAACAAAGGCACATTGTGTAACTAATTTAAAATACCATTTACTTCAATCAATGAGAAATAACTCTGGTGAATATTATTTGCACACACAGCTTGCAGCGGAAAAATTTGAATTTAAAGGCGTCAAAATGCACTGGTAAAGTTTCAAAAATTAATCAAACAGAATTTTTTAGTAAATTAGATGAAAATTTGAGAAAAAATATGATAAAAAAAAAAATTTGCAAATTTTTTATAAAACAAATAAATTTCCAGAACAAGATTCATATTTTGGAGACAGTAACATAAGACAATAACCAAAAACTTTCGATATTTATGAAAGTACAGCAGTCCAAAAATTTCGTAAATATTTTGTCACTATTGACTGTAATAAAATTCCTAATGATCTTCAGCCTCTGAGCAATGCAATAAATACCTTGTTTCTACAGCTGAATGTAAGCATTTTTTTTTACTATGAATATAATCTTGTCTTCTTGCAAAACTCTGATAATAAAACCCTGTTTAAAATAAAAACCTGAGGTCAGAGTTTAATATTAAGTTAGTAGGTCCACCAGTTATTAATTTTGATCCAAATTATGTAATAAAATGGTTTGGAAAAGGACATCATGATGCTAATATCAGGAATTTTGAAGCCCCAACATTAAAATCTGTCAATTAAGTGAAACATTTGGGAAGATATTTTGACAAAAAAAAACTTGTTTAACTTTTAATACTAGTAGAAATAAATTTGTATTAACATACTATTTTTTTTTTTTTTTTTGATTTCTTAGCAAGTCTTGATTTCAAATATGACTCTTTATATAACAGTGACATTCACCTAAGAATATAACTGAGCAAACTACCTGGATATTAGTTTAACCATAAGCATTTATGATCCCTTATTTGAGAAAATAAGAGATTATGTTTGAAGTACAAGTTGTATTGCATGAAAAAAACTTGTTAATACTGGTGGCAAGAAGAAAACATTAAAAAACATCTCAATATCTTTTTTTCACACTTCGAGCATTGGGTAGAAACTATATATGTAATATTTATTACTGTTATTTATTATTATTATTGTTATTATTATGTTATTATTTATGTCATTATAGGTCTTTACACGTCATCAGTTTATAACTGTTGTAAATGTCTTGCACGATTGTATATATATATACAGTATTATTAAAGTGAAAATATATTGATTTGATTTGATTTGATATAATTATATATATAAAGGCCTCAGCAAGAAGCAAGAGCTTTCGCTCTCATCCATACTCCACTAAAATGGTTTACGGAAGCAATTTACAGCTCTTACAAAAGTATAATATATTTATAAATATTAACTACTTTTTTTTTCTTTTCTTTTGGTCTGTTGCCAAAATGGCGTCTAAAAGTAACTAGTTCTTAATTTGTCTATCGCTACTTTTTATATAAATTTTTGCAATAAGTAGAGTGCTCGAATATTCTAGTCATTTTTCATTATAGGGCTAAGTGTAGACTAGATATAATTTGCGTCAATAAAATTAGTACTGTAAACTATTGATAACATTCCCTTTTCTACTTTCAGATAGAGCACATGCTGATATATACGCCATTAGGTTTTTCACTTTAATTGAGTGCTAATTTTATAAAAAATATACTTTTTTATAACAACAAAGTATTTACAAATATAAAAAAACAATTTACAAATACTTTAAAACCATTTGCTTTTAAAGTGTTTTAATTATTAGGATCTTATTTGTTACAGGAGCCTGAAATTGATATTTAGAAAGTATTTTAAAGTATCGCGTTAAGAATCATTTAAACTAATTAACAAAAATTGTTAATAGAATCTAAATTCGGTATTTGAAAAAGATTATAATTCCTTATAACTTATTTCTTAAAACAATCTTATACTTAACATAATCTTTTATTTATTTATCATTATTTATTTTAATTTTCATGTATTTAATGTAGTATTTTTAATAAAGATTATAAACAATTTATAGATGAATTTTATCAGTTACTAATAGAATATTTGTACACATAATTTATGTTCATAAACATAATGTATAATCTATGATAACCTATTATGGAGAGACTTATGTTTTACATTTAGACTATGATGGAGAGACTTATGTTTTACATAATGAATTAGCAGACATAAAGTTAGCAGACAATAAGAAAAAAACTTCAATAAAAAATGCAAAATTATTTTACATTCATTTGATACTAAATTTTACATTTAACGTTTTACTATTTTACATTCCTTCAAAACTAAACTAAAATTTTTAAAATCATATTTAATTTTTTTAAAATTAATATATTTTTTTTTAAACAATTTGTTTCTTTAAAAAAATTCTCAGTTGCGGTTAGATGCATTTTTTTGCTATCTAATATTTTCTAACATAAATGAAATTATGTGACCTTTTACAAAAAAGTTTTTGCTTAACTGAACGATTTCGACATTTACAAAAAATGGAAGCTGCATACTGCATCTTAACAAGGCCTGTCAAAGTATTTTTTTTTGGCAAATTTAGTCCAATTGAAATCATTCTATTCTAATATAACAATATATATATCCTTTTTTTTAAATATTTAGGATTTTTTGAAAAATTTTATACAAAAAATCTTCTTTTAACCATGTAAATACATAAAAGCATTTAATTTCATAAAGGCATTGAAAAATTAAAAAAATTGAGAGTACAATTTAATTTCAACAAACATCAGAGAATAAAAAACTAACTTTTATTTTCATCATTATCTGGAATAGGTAGCTTGTTGTATTTTGCAATTTCACCTAATGCAAAACAACATACAGAACTTGTTTTTCTATTTGCATCATTCAACTTGAAAACTATAAAAAATAAGTCAAAAAAATTATAATATTGTCAAAAAAATTATAATATAAAATATCATCAAAAAAATTATAACATAATTATCAATACTTTTATGTATTAATTTTTTATTATGCAGTTTTTTAAAATTATTTTAGTTTTTATGTATCATAAAAATAATTTTCACAAGTACATAAGATTTCTATTGTTTCCTGCACAATTTTTTGAAAGCCTGGGCTGTTATAACATTCATTAAAGCGTTTCCCTAGATCTTTATGCTTGAAGTACAAATAGCAACGCGATATTGTTAATGATGTAATCAAGATAGCACTATGCATCTCTTCAAAATTCTGATTATTAAAAAAAAAGATCAACAAATTAAAAAAATTTAAATTTTAAACTGAAACAAAATATTTGAACATTAACTATATTTAAACTACTTTGCTGTGAAAAGATAACACCAAATGAGAAAGCTTGTTTGTTACAACATCATTGTTCATTGTGCAAACAACAACACTTATAAGGTGTGCGGTCAGTAGACGAACTTCCTCTCTCATAGATTTAGCAAATAACTTAGAAAAACATAATATATAATAAATCAATTAGGTCAGTAAGACAAATTAGATGTTTATAACTAAAAAATTTATTACCTCTATCATATCAAGCTTGTCAGCAAGTAACAATGAAATTTTATGTGGAAGTGCAGTAGTAAGATCAATCAGGCTTGTGAGAGCTTGAAAATGTAACATTGTGTCTAACAAAATAATTAAATAAGTTTATATGCAAAACAGTTATTTGTATAGATAGCATTCAAAAAACAGTGAAAACTATAAAAACAAAAAACAAAAAATTTCTTTTCAGACCTCCATGGATTCATTAGTACTTTAATTTTTAATTTAATTTTATCTTTTCTAAACATTAACACTGTGTTTGTTTTCTAAACATTAATACTGTGTTTGTTTTCTAAACATTAACACTGTGTTTGTTTTCTAAACATTAATACTGCGTTTGTTTTCTAAACATTAATACTGTGTTTGTTTTCTAAACATTAACACTGTGTTTGTTTTCATTATAAAGTATGTAAAGAATTTGTTAAATTGTAAGAAAAACATTCAATACTACATTGAAATACATTAAAATTATTTTGCATACACAAAAATAAAGTCAAATACACAAATTTAAAATAGGAATATTACAACTATTTGTTTTCTCACCTGATACTAACTACTAATGATATTATCAACAGAAGTAAAAATAACAACAAACAATATTTTGTATTAAATATTAAAGCAGGTATTTAGTATTATATATTACATTTTTTGTTAACAGGATAAATCAAATTTTTATTAAATATTTAAAATATTATATTTCTTATTTAAAATAACAAAAGACTTCTTTTTTTATCTAGATCTTATTCAAACTGTTTGAAAAAAAAATTTAATACAAATATAAAATTTTGTATTAAAAAAGCATCAGATAAAGAAATACCAGATGAATTTGTTAATGCATCAAAAATGAGTGACAAATGCCATCCTACAGGCGACTGAAGTAAGTCTAAATGAAACAATTGATAAACAAAAGTAAACAAATTTTATTGATTTACACATTTATTAAAAAAAAAAATGCATTCAGCGGTTTATCCACTTCAATGTTCTATTTATTATGATTAAATCTTCTGCGACCAAAAATTCAGCCACTGTAAATGAGTAAAAACTGTTTCTGCAGCTGAAAATAAACACATGCACAAATATTTTATTTTTAACATTAACAATTAACTTGCATTAACATACTGGCATAGAACTTTGAAAGTTACATTATAAACAATTAAGGCAGCATACAAGGTAGATGTAAGTTGTGGGTAAATTAAATTAAATCTTTCTTAGAAAACACTTTTTTTCAAATTTTGTGTTTTGTTTTGATGTGTTTTTCTAAGTTTTAACTATTATTGTTGTTGTTTATTATTATTTATTGTTTTTATTTTTCAAAATTTAATGGAGGAATTATCCCTGAAGCACATAAAGGTTACTATGGAACGGAGAGCCAACTTATTAAATATTCTCTTGGTAGTGTTGTGCTTAGACAAGACCATTAAGACTTCTTATAACACCTTTAAAAAAAAAAGAAGCGAAAAAAATTTATACTAAAATACAACTTATGCCCTAATTGCCTAATAAAACAAAACAATTCACCGTATCTATAATTTTTAACACAGTTTGAGTTTTTTTTTGGTGTGTCCAATTTTTTTTTAATTAAAATTTGATGTGAAAGTATTAAAACATATAAAATCACAAGCAAAAAATTAAATTTGTTATAACAATTGTTGATAAAAATACTTATAAACTTTGATCGCTAATCCGCAAACCGCCATTTGACTAAATACCTTCAACTTTTTGTTTTTTTATTTTATATATTTAAATGCATATTTCAGTACCTTAGCCATTATAAAATTTGAAAAAAAGTGACAAATCGATCTACCCTAATATATATGTAGTGATGCTATTTTGTGCATATACTATCAAGAAAGTACTCGACAAACCAAGTCAGAGCTATAATATAGTAGAAAATAAAACTATGTGATTTTCACAACTTTAAGTTTCATGCTGTTGTAATATCATCCTAATGATTTATATATATATATATATATATATATATATATATATATATATATATATATATATATATATATATATATATATATATATATATATATATATATATATATGTATATATATATATATATATATATATATATATATATATATATATATATATATATATATATATATATATATGTATATATATATATATATATATATATATATATATATATATATATATATATATATATATATATATATATATATACATATATATGCATATATATATTTTCGATTCATGAAATAAAAAAATAAATGAAAATATGAAAACCTTCTGACTGATATTGAGCAATATAAGTGTTAAAAAATAAAATAGATTTTTTTAAAGTAAGCCCATTAAGCTCATCTTGATCAGATATATTTGCATTAAAGTGAAAACATTCTTGAATGTACCATAATATCTAATCAAATAGAGAGATTAAACAATTAAAAACAAGTAAAAAATTTATAAAAAATTATAACTATAACTAAATATTTATAAAAAATGTAAAAATGTAAAAAAATCTTTTAAAAACTGGGTATGAAAACTAAAACTGGGTATGAAAACTAAAAAAAGTCTTTTAAAAAACTGGGAATGAAAACTAAAAAAAGTCTTTTAAAAACTGGAGGTGAAAATAAAAAATGAATACCTTTTGATAAACAGTAGGTGAAAATACATTCATTTCATATTTTAATTTTCGTTCTTTCATCTAAAAATGTTAAAAAATCTTTTTTTATCTAAATATTTAAACCTTCCAAATATAATTTTTATATATTCTAATAAAAACAAATAAAAATTACAAAAAAATATGAAACTCAACAAAATAGAATTTTCTTATAAAAACTATTTATAATACCTTTTCAAATATACAAGTACATATATCTGAATAAGAAGGTAGAGGAGATACTAATTTTAAGCCTTGCAATGCTGCTTCTTTTATACTGTCAATGCTACAAAAACAAAAACTTAAATAAAAATGTTTTGAACTAATTAACTAATTAATAAAAAATGTACCTTTAGCCCCTCTCTAGGCAGAGCCTGTTTTTGGGAAACTCAAATTAACCAGTGTTTACAAGTGTAAACAGCTATTTTCAATAAACTAAAATGTATGCTTGATTGCACTGATATTTGTTGTATGAATAGGATACATGTTACCACTTGTTTAAACCAAATTTAAATTGGATTAAAATTATGCTAACACCTAAACTTATGCAAGCATCAGTTTGTACACAGTGACTCATAAAAATTCTTCAGCAAAATTATTTTTTTATCTTTTTTGTCTTAGCACTAGAGTCCAAACTATGCAATTATCCTTTCTCCCAATAAAATGCAATTTCAATAAAAATCTAAAAAAAATTTTCACAAAATAACTGTTTCTAGGTAGCAAACAATATGGGCGCAATATTGGCGCGATATTGGGTATCTTGGTGGATGTTGGCCAAGATATGCAATATTGCGCCAATATTGGAAAACAATATTGCGCCAATATTGGCATATCAATATTGATCAATATTTCCATACCATTATTAGGCCATTATTGTTTTACTAATATTGGAATGCCAATATTGACACAATATTGTTTGCCAATATTGAATTGTTAATTTAACTCCAATATTGGTCATTGCTGGCATTTTTACATAAAAATTGTCATGCATAACATTATTGGATATTCATAATGTCTTTTAGTTCTATTAATGTGTTAAAGTGTAAATATCTTTTTACATAAACAGATATCCTTATGGTATTTGCAGATGATACTAAGTTATAAAATTTGCTTTCTAATAACTCATCATGCAAACTGGGCAAAATTACTTAGTTTTAATGTAAAATAATGTAAAGTTATGCCTTTAGGACCAACAATGTTCTGAAATATGAAAAAAAATCTTTTTCTTTTACCTCTCTTACACTGCAAAAATATCTTTTTCAAAAAGGACTTAGACTAGACATACTAGTGAACATACTTGTTCCATGAATTTTCCATGACTTTCAATGAAAATTTAGGAATTCCATGACTTTTTCCATGACCGAAAAAAATTACATGACAATTCTATGATTTCCATGACCAGTGGCCGCCCTGTTATATACTTGTTGATACAAGTCTCAATACGTCAATCTTAAAAACTCTTTAAAAAAATCTTGTTGATAAAGACAAGATTTTTTAAAGAGTTTTTTTTACACGGGCAACAAAAGGTTGATAGGCTTGTTTTATATACCTAAATGCTCTATTTGTAAAATTATTACCTTATATAATAAAATAATAATAATAATAGCAATATGTTATACCAAAACTCTTATAATAATTATTCGGTTAAAGATTATAATAGTTAATAGTTATTAACTATTATTCGGTTAAACTTTAAAATCGTCTAATGTAAAGTTTGTTGACATATCATATTTTAATGAAACCAACGCTCAAAATTGAATAACAAATTCTGTTTATCATTTTTTAAATCTTAAATAGTAAAGTTATACAATTCACTGTATGTTTGCTGTTTGTAAACAAACTCTTTTTTTATTATAGAGCATAATTTTTTTCATTATAAAAAAAAAAATAATATAAAATATTATTTCTTATAATAATGGCGCATACATGGCTCATACACTCATTCAATTGAGCATGAGATCTTAATCTTATACTCAATTGAATTGCATAATCTCAGGTTAATAAGTTAGAATTCAAGTTGGCTGTCTTCAGGGTGCATTCACTACTCGTTCTTTAGCTGTTGTAAAGGTAACCTATAATGGAGAATGAAAACACTGATAAAAAAAAAGGTAACAAATATTTTTAACTCTTCCTTAATGTCATATTTAAATAAGAAAATGTTATTATGGAAATCTGTCCAAATTACAAAAACTTTAAAATTCACTTTCTTTTAACCAGTAATCAAACCCTACTTGAAATAAAAAGTGATTACATTTTACATTAAGAAATGAAACTCAATAAATTTTAAACTAATATTTTCAGTTTAAAAAAATAATAATCTGAAAAAAAAGTTAATCTGAAGTTATTTTATATTATATATTTATTCGTTTTGAATTTTTTTAAATGTTGTACCGTTAAATTGTAGATGGCAATAAAGTTTTAAAAATTTGCTGTGGCTGAATTTTTCAATGAAAAAAACAACAACAACAACATGTGTGCCATTAACGTAATCTGTTTATCATTGCTGATCAATAAAAGTTTAGCTTATTTAGTTTTGTACCAGCTTAAAATGTTGCAGGCTGCAAATAAAGTGACACTGAGGAGACTGTCTATCAGTTTCTTAAAGATTTAAGAAAACTTTATTATTTTAAGGTTAAGTGTTTCCCTCTACAGTTGGCAATCAGAACTTTGCTTGACTATCCCCTTCATTGACTATCCCCTTCATTGACTATCCCCTTCATTGACTATCCCCTTCATTGACATCCCCTTCATTGACATCCCCTTCATTTAATTTATTTGCTGCTTAATGAGGAAAAAAAATCTTGGAAGAAAATCTATGGAGCAAAGACACCTTATGAATCGATAATATGTATCTGTGTATTGATATTAGTTAATAGTTTTTGAAAACAGTTCCATGTTCAACTAAAATTTACATTCTTTAAAATATATAATAAATTCATATGAAACATACAAACAAATGATACAATATGATACATGGTGATACATATAATTGTTGTATATAAGAATGTTTTATATAAATGCCTATTACATTTGTTGTGATTTTTATCTTTTATGCTCAATTAGTATATTTTATATAGCAATGACTACTAATCTCAGAAATGTATAACATCTTTAGGGTGTATTCACCACAGCTTTTTGCTGTGGTGAAGACAACCTATGTTGGAGAATTTTATACTACTGTGTAATTGTGGTCAAGGGTAGGAGAAGGTCACAAACCTGTATGAAATTCTGGATGGTATTCTTCCTAGCATTATCACTTTATAAAAGTTTTATGAAAAAAATCAGTCCTGATCTGCAAAACAGGTTGACCTCTGGAATTGCATCTATTTGTAACCAATTGCTTTTACTCTTCCATAATTTCATATTTTAAGAACAATATCACATTATGGAAAACTGTCTAAAACATGCACATGTGAGAAACCATTAAAATTTTATTACAACAAATTATATTAGATTTGTTTTTTTTTATTTATTTAAGATGAACTTCCTTGCATCGATTGAAGGAGATGATTACAAACAACTTACAGTGGCAATCTTTATACAGCTAATGGCCAAAGAAGTATGTTTGTCATACTCAATGTGTGAAAGAAACAAAAATGTCCTACAAGGTCTTTATAGGTAAAACATAATATTTGTATTTTAGACCCTATTTCCTTTTAATAAACAAATATTTTAGTAAAAGCAAATTATTTTACAATATTCATATGTGAAAAATTATATATTTTTAAATTATATTGTGATGACATTAACAAAACATTTTGTAGAGTGATTTAAAAAATTTAAGTCGTTAAATTTATTTAACAACTTAAACTTTTTTTTTCTCAAAATGCTCTATAATCATTGTCATCTCCTAGACTATAACCTGTTTAAATCAAAAGAATAATCCAGCCTGATACAAAAATATCATTTAAAGAAGAAAAATGTTATAAATTTTAATTATTAAAAATTTGTAAAACACAATATTATTTTTTATCATTTTTTAATAATAAAAATTTAACAGAAAATACTCAATATTGACTTAATATAGTTAACAATATTTAGATAATATTGTAAACTATATTATGCCAATAATGGCCAGTATTATATCCCCATTATTGGCGCAATATTATTTAGAATATTGGCCCAATATTGTAAACATTGTCACGCCAATATTGCAATGCAAACATTTTGCCAATATTGACTAATATTGAGTTAACAATATTGGCGCAATATTGTACCAATATTGACTTTACAATATTGGCACAATATTGTAGCGCTAATATTGGCCATTATTGGCAAAATGTTTGGGTTGCAATATTGGCGCGATATAGTTTACAATATTGCACCAATATTGTAGACAATATTGCACCAATATTGTAGACAATATTGCCCCAATATTGTTTTCTATTTGGGTTAATTTTAGTTAAAAATAAAACATAATTGCTAAAAATGTAATTAATAAATAATACTTTCTAATTTTAAAACATGCTTTAAAATTATCTGTGTATTATGCACTTAAAAGTACCACCTTTATTTACTTTTAATTTAATAAATGGAAAGAAAAAAACTTAACTTTCAAAGTAACTAATTTAAGTAATATTGTACCAATATTGACTTTACAATATTGGCACAATATTGTAGCGCCAATATTGGCCATTATTGGCAAAATGTTTGGGTTGCAATATTGGCGCAATATAGTTTACAATATTGCACCAATATTGTAGACAATATTGCACCAATATTGTAGACAATATTGCCCCAATATTGTTTTCTATTTGGGTTAATTTTAGTTAAAAATAAAACATAATTGCTAAAAATGTAATTAATAAATAATACTTTCTAATTTTAAAACATGCTTTAAAATTATCATGAAACAATTTAAAGTTTATTTTGTGCACAATCTACTATCTAACTATATATAAATCCACCCAAAGAATGAGTTACATGATTTTTTTTTGCGATAAATAAAATTTAGTTAATGTTTAATGTATAGGTATTGTAAGCAAAAATAAAAACTTTAAAAAGACCAAAAAAAATTCAAAAGTAAAAATAAAAATTATAAGGAAGAATAAAAGAATATCTAGCAATAATGATAAAAAAGAGACATAAAATTAATATGAATTTATCTTTATTATGGGCAATTCCATGTGAAAGCAATTTTTTTGAAAAAACCCTAAGTCTTTGCTGATTTTTATATCACTCAAAGATTTTAATAAGTTATGAACATTTCTTAAATTTCATCTAATTCCAAACAGTTTCAAAGATATGACTCTTCAAACTTTGCCTTGAACTATGCCTTTAGTTGTTATTACAAAGAATTGGAGAGTGGTCTTTTCGTAAACAAAAAAGGTCAAATTTACTTAAATTAGTTACTTTGAAAGTTAAGTTTTTTCTTTCCATTTATTAAATTAAAAGTAAATAAAGGTGGTACTTTTAAGTGCATAATACACAGGCAGTTGATGTTTAATAATTTTCGAAAATTTTCTCACCCTGAGCATATTAAGACCGATTCCCCATTTATTAAAATTTTATTCAGGGATGCGGAGTCCCGAAAAAGACTCTTGTTTAAAAAAAAGATTTTTTCCTAGTTTTTAGTATCCAGGAGCTCTGAAAATCTAAAAAAACTTATGGACTACTAATGGAAAAAAACTTTTAGTTGAAAAAGAAGTCTTTAGGTATAATGCCAGCAAGGACTCTAGGCTTAAAAACAATAACTTCAAAGTTATTAAATCTTATGAATTTATTTCTTTTTGCAGATCATTAGTCAACCAACATATTTAGAGCTTTTGAGCACCAGAGACCAGGAAAAAAAAGAGATATAAAGCTGGAGTCCTTTTGGGAATCTGCATCCCTGATTTTACTTGTTGTGAACAAAGAAACTTTATCTCAACACTAAAAACAAAAAAATAATTTTTAATAATTATTTTCTAATTTCTAGAAGACCATTCATAAAAAATAGAAAATATAAACTCATAGAAATTAAAATAAAAATCTGCATTTTTTAATTTAACTCACCCACCTTGATAATTTTTGAAATTTGAGATCCGAAGTAAGTTTATATTTTCTAATTTTTAAGACCTAAATAGATCTCAAAAATTAGAAAAGAATAACTGAATTTTTTTTTATCAGATTTGGGATACAATTTCTTTGTTCGTAACAAGTAAAATTTAACAAACGGGGGTCTTAATAAGCTCAGGGTGGGTGGTAAAATTTTTTAAAAATTATTTAACATCAACTGCTGCATATTATGCACTTAAGAGTACCACCTTTTTTTTTTCCTTTCATTTTTCATAATTCCTTTTCCATTATTTTTCAAAATTTTTAAAGTAACAAATTTAAGTAAATTTGACCATGTTTTTTTTTTCTGTTTAAGAAAAGACCACTCTCCAATTCTTTGTAATAACTCTAACTTAGAACTTCAAATCGATATCTAAAAAAAAAACAATAAAAAATCAAGCTACATCGGCATTTTTGTAATTAAACTTGCCAAGTAAATATTCTAAAAGGTCAAAATTACAGCTGTTATGTTTATTTTTTAATATTTTAAGTTGTTTTATTAGATTCCTTGCCTCAACATATGTTAGTGTACATATTTACAGCTTTTCATTGCACACTAACCAGAAACAATGATCAAAACCATTTTTTAAAATGGCAGATTTTTGTTGGTTCAAGGCAAAGTTTGAAGAGTCATATCTTTGACAGTATTTATAATTAGATGATAAAATTTTGGAAATGTTCATAACTTATTAAAATCTTTGAGTGGTGTAAAAATCAGCAGAATATGAGTCTTAGGGTTGCATGCCCTGGATGTTTTCACATGGAATCGCCCTTATATAAAATGAACAATTTCCCTAATTTAATTGTATATTTGCAAAGACCTTTTCATAAATACATACCCGCAAAACTCAAAACAAAAATTTGGTTGCGTCATACAAACCAAATGGCTAATAAAAAATTTACATAAAAATCTTCTGAAAAACAATATATATATATATAAAAACAACATAAATATATAAAAACAACATATATATATATATATATATATATATATATATATATATATATATATATATATATATATATTAGAGAGCATTAAACGCATCATGCTTTCAGAAAAAAGGGCTTTGTTGTAAGTTTCAGACTTGAGGTCTGAAACTTACAACAAATTCTCATTCAATTTTGAAAAAATTTAAGTATGGGGCTTTTGATGCACATACATACATTATATATATATATATATATATATATATATATATATATATATATATATATATATATATACATATATATATATATATATATATATATATATATATATATATATATATATATATATATATATATATATATATATATATATATATATATATATGTATAAATATATATATATATATATATACATATATATATACATATATATATATATACATATATATATATATACATATATATATATATATATATATATATATATATATATATATATATATATATATATATATATATATATATATATGTATAAATATATATATATAAATACATACATATATATATATATACATATATATATATATATATATATATAAATATATATATATATATATATATATATATAATATATATATATATATAATATATATATATATATATATATATATATATATATATATATATGTATAAATATATATATATAAATACATACATACATATATATATATATATATATATATATATATATATATATACATAAATATATATATTTATATATATATATATATATTTATATATATATATAAATATATATATATATATATATATATATATATATATCTATATATATATATATATATATATATATATATACATATATATATATATATATATATATATATATATATATATATATATATATATATATATATAAATATGTATATGTAAAAATATATGTATATATATATATATAAATACATACATATATATATATACATAAATATATATATATATATATATCTATATCTATATCTATATATATCTATATATATATATATATATATATATATATATATATATATATATATATATATATATATATATATATATATATATATATATATATATATATATATATATATATATATATATATAGATATATATAGATATAGATATATATATATATATATTTATGTATATATATATATGTATGTATTTATATATATATATACATATATTTATACATATACATATTTATATATATATATATATATATATATATATATATATATATATATATATATATATATATATATATATATATATATATATATATATATATATTTCAACTGAAGTCTTTAAAATGCTGTTTTCCTTAAGAGAAATGTTTTTAATTTTTGTAGGTTTAAAGAAATGAACATTAACATATAAAGCATATGCTTTAATTTCCTCAGCATATAATAAGCTTATATAATATATAAAGCTTTCATTTTCCTTTTAAAATAACAGATAAGTCTCAAGACTAAACAAAAATAGATTGCCTTATGGAATAAAATATACTTTTTGGTTACATTAATACTACAATCTATTTAAATTTTTGTATTTGTAAAAAAGATAGAGAGATACAACCTTATGACAGTTATTTAAAAACTCAAGTTTGGCAGCTAGAGCAGATCCAACAAAATTTACAATGTATTTTTAGACCCTGTCTAAAGAAGATAAGGCCTCATTAGAAGAACCAGCCCAAATATGACAATAGTATTTTGTTCAAGTACAAATAACAGAATTGCAGAGGTAGAAAATGAAATCAAGAGTAAGAAAATAATGAACATGGTAATGAGATCCTTAAATGGCAATCTTAGCAAATGCTAACTTTGCCATTTAAGGAATATATGATTTACATGAGAGGGGAAGAAATGGAGATAATTAGTTATCTAAAAAGAAGAAAAGTATTTTGAAAGTTGCTATTCATTAGCATTAGAATATATTAATATATTTTTAATATATCAGCATATATATCAGCAATATATTAATCAGTAATATTGTGATAATTAATATTGTGAAAATTATAAGCAGTAAACTATTTTTTTTTGTTTTGTTTTATTTTGTTTAATATTTTAATTACCTAATAATTTACTTCAATATTTTATTCTTACTATGTTAACTCTACATTGAAAAAATGTTTCAATCATTAATCTATCAACTAACATAAATCATAAATTAAGATAAATTAATTTATACCTGTCATCAAGAGCTAATAAGCATATGTACTTAGATATTGCATGATTACTAGGAAATATGACATTTGCAAGTTGTAATGATGCTAGACGCAATCTGGGTAGAGTCTAAAAAGAGAGCAGAAAAAATCTCAGAATAATTATAAGATATATATTAGGGTATTAGCCAACCTTATGGCACTGCGTATACTGCGGTATTACCAATAATTAAAATTCTCAAAATTCAAATATAAATATCACACCCTAGTGGAAATATTTCTTATGAAAAAAAAGGACACCAGAAACAGATTAAATTTTTTGTAACCACCATACCTTGTTCTGTTATGACCTAGATTTTGAAAATATTCTGTTGATGTCTAAACAAATTAGAGCGGGTTAAACAAGTTCAGAATTTTTAGCGTGTAAGATAGATAACTTCCAGAAATGGTACTTTCATAAAATTTTGTAATAATCATACTAATGCAAAATAAGAATGTTATAGAAAAAATTACAACCATCGGAGACTGGAAACAAAATTAAACCTAAAATTTGGATCCTTGTGTCCTATTTAAGGTTTCAATAAAAAAAAATTTTTCCATAATATTTTAAACTAGGTTTAAACTAATCAACAGATTTAAAATTTCATACAAAATTCTCTTTTTGTTAAAAAGTTATTATTTTTTATAGTTTATTATTCCCCAATTAACTCCAAAAATTAACTTCAAAAGCTCACAACTTTTAAACAGCATATTTTTTTGGAACGATATTTAAAATATGACGATAAATTTTGATTCTAATAAATATGAAAAGAAAAAAAAATTCAAAAATGTTTTAAGGGCGTTACATTAGGGACGTTTTAATATGATTGGGCCCAATCACTCGGACATAAAAAGAAGATTTTAGTTTTTGTTGTTGTGGTTTTTAGTGATATTTAACATAACAAGTTAATAATAACTGTTTTGTATTTTACAAACTAACTTTTCATTATAAATTATATATATAGTTGTACAAGAGTTTTATGTAATAGCTTTATGAAAAAATTTTGAATAATTTTTGTGAGATTTGGATATCTAGTAACCATTTTCCTAGAGCTGAGTAAAATTATTATGAAAAATTCAAAAGCTTGTTCGCTCCTTTGTAGATAATTACGTAAAGGAATTTTTTAAAAATTCTTTTGTATGTTTTACCAAAGCGTGTTTATAAAATGTTAACTGTTTTACTTTTACAAACTACTGTTTTAATTTGTATCACATCAATTTAAAAAACCCTCAAAGTGATTCTTTATTGCTAAAATATTTAAAATTGGTTAATTAAAAACCACTTTTTGTTTTAACAAATTTTGATTTTTATGCATTATTGTAATTTGTGTTTTGTTACATGTTGCGCTTGTAATATCATTAGTTGTGCTTTGAAAGTTTAAATATTAATAATTATTTCACCTTGGAAATGCTGGATTCAAGGTTAAGTCACAGTCAAAGTTTGTTTAATTTGCTTTGTAAAAAAAAAATTTTTTCCTAAAACATTCTTTGGAATTTGCTTCCTTCATCTTGCTTTCCTGATTCATATAATTTGTAATCTTTTAAGTCGTCTGTCAATGATTTAACTATATATATAATTTATTGTGAAAAGTTAGTTTGTAAAATATGAAACAGTTATTATTAACTTGTTATGTTAAATATCCCTAAAAACCACAACAACAAAAACTAAAATCTTCTTTTTAATTGTATCAGAGTGATCAGACCTAATCATATTAAAACCCTAAGAACACGCCCCAAATGTGACGGCCTAAAAACGGTATGAACTTTTTTTTCTTTTCATATTTATTTATGGACAATTTTAAATATCATTCTAAAAAATTTGCCGTTTAAAAGTTGTGAGCTTTTAAAGTTATTTTTTGGAGTTAAATGGGAAATAATAAATTATAAACAATAACAAATATTTAACTAAAAGAGATTTTTGTATGAAATTTTAAATCTGTCGATTAATTTTAACCTAATTTAAGATACTATAAAAAAAAATTACATGCTAAAAATTCTGAACCATCTTGTTTAACCCACTCTAATTTGTTTAGATATCAGCAGAATATTTTTAAAATCTAGGTCATAACAGAACAAGGTACAGTGGTTTCGAAAATGTAATCTGTTTTTGGTGTACTTTTTTTTTTCATAAGAAATATTTCCACTAGGGTGAGATATATATATATATATATATATATATATATATATATATATATATATATATATATATATATATATATATATATATATATATATATATATATATATATATATATATATATATATATATATATATATATATATATATATATACACCTTGGACAGAAAGTTTAAACGCACTTGTTTTTTTAACTTATATAATACTTTTAAGAAATGATAACCCGATAAACTAATGAGATATGCTCTGTATTTTTATGTTTATTTATATGGCTATAAGTTATTAGTTTAGATAGAAAAAAAATTGTATGGATATTATAACAGAGGTGGAGAGTGATGAAAAAATTAACGGAGCAATTAACTCCTTTCAATTTTTTGAAATAAAATTTAAACGCACTTTGATAAGAAAACGCGTAAAACTCGTTTATTGAGAGATTTTTTATTGAAGTCTTTTGCATTATTATCATTCAACAGCCTGTTAACGTTAGTATATTTCATTTGGATTCCTATTCTTATTTTATTTTGAATAAAAACCACAAATACGATTTGATTTAAAATCCAGCAATTTTCAACTGATACAGCTTTGTCAAAATATCATACTTTAATGGCTAATATTTTAAAAAGCTGTTTTGTTGAAAATGGCAAGTCATTGGAATGCATAAAATGAAAATAAGCAATAGAGTAATTGGCAGACGCCTAAATATTTCTGAATTCAGCGTTCGTACTACAATAAAAAATTATTTATCAACTGGTAGTGTCAATGATAAACCTCATACTGGGCATCCGAAAAAACTGACAGCACGCGATGAAAACATGCTTTACATGCTAAGCAGATGTAACCCAAAAGCGGGAGGATCAACTTTAAGTGCAGGAATCAATAGTTCGCTGGTAGACAAAACAATTAGTCGAATGACTATAAGTAAGCTATTATGCAAGAAAGAATTAAATTTGTTTTATTGTGTAAGAAAGCCTTTGTTGACGTTAACCGATCGCCAAAGACGAAAAAAATGGTGCAAAGAGCATCATTTTTTTAAAATTATTTGGTACAACAATGGAAAATGACTATCTTTAGTGATGAATCAAATTTTCAAATTATTAACAGAAAAAACAAGAGATTTGTTCGTCGCAAAAATACCGAAAAATATTTGAAGCAACACCTATTAAGCCGTATTCAAAAAGGTGGTGGTTCCTTCGGCATATGGGGATGTATATCAGGCTCAGGCATATACGAAGGAAGATTAAACCAGTATGAGTATTGTGACATTTTGGAAAACGCGCTTATCCCTAGTCACGATTTGTTCCAGGCTGATCAAAACTGATTATTTCAACAAGACAATGCTCCATGCCATACAGCGCATTCAATCACTGATTATTTCCTTAAAAGTAATATTCAACTTATGCCTTGGCCAGCACGATCACCAGACTTAAACCCGATTGAAAATTTATGGAGCTGGATGGATTATCAACTAACAAAAAAGCAAATAACTAGTCACGATATGCTCAAACAAAAACTGACCAAACTGTGACTTGAAATACCAATCAAGATGATTGAAAACTTAATCGAATCAATGCCAAGGCGAATCCAGCAAAAATTTCTTTTAAAAAATAAATTTAGTATCAAGAGAAAATTGTATTTATTGATGTTTATAAAATAAAAATTTACTTACTGTTATATACATATATATACATATATATATATACAGGGCTCAAATTAAAGCAAAAAAATCTAATCGCAAAAAAAAATAAAAAATTTCACACCCTCTCCTCCCCTTCTACTATGCGCCGCTTTGCGGTAATGGGGGGAGGGAGGGAGGGAGGGAAGTTGCGTTAATATATAATTGTAAATTTTGTACATAATTGTTCTGTTTTTAACATATTATCTCTCATATTTAAATATAATCTTACAATTTTCTTGTTTGGCAGAGTTTAAAATAGCGTAAGTTACTGTTATTATTTACAACTTAAGTTATAACTTAAAGTTTAAGTTGTAGTTGTAATAAGCAATAACATTTTTAATACTATTAAGATATTTCTTTAAGTATATTTTTATTTAACATGATACATAAAAAAGTAAAAAAGTAAGAGAAAAAGCAACATTACAATATCTAAACCACTTTAATTAGTCAAAGAAAACTTTTTAACACATTCATGCTGGCGTAAAAACACGTGTTAATTTTAAAAAGTAATTTAATTGTTAAAAGCTATAAAACAACATTAAAACAAACTGTATCTTGGGTTAATGTAAAACAAATTTGTGACGCTGTTTCGTTTTGATTTATACAACTTGCGTACTTATAGAAAATGTTTAGTCTAGATGTAGCTATAAACAAAAAGAAAATATAAAAAAATGGTGTCGCATTTTTCATATTCTATTCGACAAAGTTAACTAAATATAACTTCAATAGTTTCAAGGTCGTTAAACCGAAAAATGTGAAAGCAAAAAAGTTGCTGGTTTCTATTAGCACAATTTTACTAATAAAAATTTTATTTTATAAACGAATTAATATATTAATAACGAATTAATATACCTATATTTCATTATACTTAAAGTAGTAAAAATAATTATATAAAATTGTTTATATAATTATACATGATGTATCTGGAGAAATTACTAACACAATGTCATCCGTTTTTATTTCGCGTTTTTTCTGATTCCATTTATATCTTTTAGATAAAGATGGAAGCCATTCTCACATCCATCGTTTCCAAAAATGACTTAGTAGTTCTTGCACTCGACGCCAGCGCTTTTAAGCATGATAGCCTTTAGATTGAACTGAGTCAGGTGCAAATTGTCCACCAACTTGCCCAATTAAAAAATGATTTGGAGTTAATGGAATATCATCTTTTATATTGGCACTCTGATATGTTAGTGGGCGAGAATTCAATAAACTCTCAGCACCTGTAAATGCAGTACAGAGTTCTTTATCTGTAATATCGACTTTTTCGAGTATCCCAGTCATTGCACGTTTGACAGCTTTGACCATTATTTCAAATACACCACCAAGATGAGGTCCAAGCAGAGCATTAAAGTGCCACTTGATTCCTTTATCAGCTGTAGAGTTAGTAATTTTATCCTTATCTTATAAAAGTCGTTGACTATTTCGTTTAGTTCTCGACATCCTCCAACAAAATTTGTTCCATTGTCCGTTAAAACTTCTAATGGTAATCCTCTTCTATTCACCATCGATAAAAGGCATTTAGGAATGAATTTGTATCTAGATTATAAGCCATCTCAAGATGTACTGCTTGTGATAGTAAACAGGTAAACAAGCACAAGTATCTCTTTTGTCATATCTTCCATCTACCTTGCATAGTAAGTAAATGGACCAGCAAAATCGATCCCAATTCTAGCAAATGCACGCAGTGGTTCTTCAAAGCGCATTGCTGGTAAAAGGGCATCAGCTGTTGAGCAGGTTTACATCTTCTTAATTTATATTTGTTGCATTTTGCTTCTGCATCTCGGATTTCTTCTCGTCCTCGTATTACCCAATATCGTTCTGATAGTTTTGTTAATAATTGATTTGTTCCCATCACATGATTGGCTTTGTCATGGTAATGCTTAACAATCAATTTTGTTATTGTATGGCCTCTCGGCAAAATGATTGGATACTTGACATCGTAGGGTAAGTAATGGGCATTTTGCAATCGACTGCAAGATCGCAATAATCCGTCTTTGTCAATTTGCGGATTTAAAGAAATAATTTTGCTTGATATCGATATCGGTTTTCCTTTTTCAATGTTGCTATATTCCTCTTTAAAGCTTTCTTTTTGACCTTTAGCTATGATTTCTTTTTTGCTTTCATGATATGCATCAACTGCTATATCACCCTTTTTACGAAAGTCTGTTTCAAATCGACAATTTCCTATAAACCAAAGGATCCAGCCGTTTATCCTGACAAGTTTTTTCCAACATGAGAACTTGTTTATATCAAGCAATTGCTTTGTTACTTCAGTGGATAATGCAAAATTCATTAATACTGGATTTTTCTTTACTTCAATTGAAGCCTCTTGTGTAACTTCAATGTGATTCTGTGGCCATTTTTCTTCTAAAGAATTAAGGAAACTTGGTCCATGCCACCATACATAATTGCTTTCTAATTCTTTAACTGTTGTTCCTCTTGTTAGTAAATCAGGTACATTAGTTTTTGTTGCTATGTATCTCCATTGTTTTAGTTTAGTCTTTGATTGAATGAATCCAACACGGTTGGCAACAAATGGTTTCAACTTTCGACTTTCTATTTTTTATCCACCATAAAACATTAAGACTATCACACCATATAGTAACGTCCTTAGTTTCCAGTTTCAATGCCTTGACAATCTTCTCTGCTAGTCGTAAACCGAGGACAGCTCCGAGTAACTCAAGTCTTGGTATACTAACAGATTGCAATGGACTTACTCGGGCTTTTGACATTATGATCACACAGGTCACTTCTCCTGTGTCATATAAACATTGTTGGTAAGCAACAGCACCGTAAGCTTTACAAGACGCATCCGTAAAAACATGGATTGACCTATTTGTTACTGTTGAGGTTGTTTGTAAACATCTGGGAATGTTTATTTTTGGGAGATCGTTTAGTTCTTGAAACCATCGATCAACATTATTTGCAATCCTATCCGTATCTGCTTCATCTCACTCAATTCCATCAATCCACAGTTCTTGCATAATTATTTTGATTCGAATGATGTATGGTGCCAAAAAACCCAATGGATCAAACAACGTTGCCATTTTGTTAAGCAAAATTCGTTTTATATAAACCGTATTTTCTTCGGTCGTTACAGAATGAAAACTAAATAAATCAGGTTTTGCCTTCCAGACAACTCCAAGTGTTTTCATTGCAGGCGATTCTCCAGAATCTAAATTTATATGTTCTGCACGATCTTTTTCTGATATTATTTTTGTAAAATGGGTTTAAAGAGATCTACCAGAACCACTAACACATGTCCATCCGAGAGGCGTGAGTCGAGCCACTGGTTCATTAAATCCTCCTTTTACTTCCTTAATTGCACAGTGCAGCTCAGCGTAATCCACACCGATTAGAATGTCAATTTTTGGTTTTGATCCAAT